CGCTCAACCCCCACAGCCGTGGGGAAAATCAGTAGAAAAGGCAGAACTCGTGGGTTGAGATAAAGGCAGTTTAACAGAACAGCAAAGGAAAGAGGAAAACAACAATAACCCCACCAGAGGAATGTACAAACGCGATTACGGTACCGCCGCTCACTCACCAGACCCGGACTACCGCCGCTCACTCACCAGACCCGGACCACCGCAGCCCGCTCCGAGTGGCCACTTCCTGCCCCCTCCTCTGGCCAGCTCCCCCCTATAGCCTGTTCGTGGCTCACATGGCATGGAATACCTGTGTTCCCTGCTGGCTCCTTGGGAAAATTAACCCCATCCCTGCCGGAACCAGGACAACAGTGTATATTGAATTGAGGGAGGTGTAGGAGATACCTTAGCCTGGAATTACCTCCAGTCCTCCCCAGTTCCCTGGAAAGAGGAGATTTGCACTCCAGTGGCCAAGTAGTGAGAAGAGTAGATAATGATCTGCAGCTTTACCATTCTTCTGGGTCTTCCTTTGCCTCTTTTATCAAGAACATGGATTCAGCCTTCCAGTGTGGTATTTATATTTGGCTCTTTGGCAGGGTGTGCTTGGTTTGTAAGCATGTTCATATTTAGGTTTTATATCATACACTGGCAAAATTTTACTGATGAAATATACAGGGAAAGAAAAGGGTAAGTCATTATGGGTTTATAATAGCTAAAGTTGAACAGTATTTTATTAAATTAAAAGAGTACTTATCCTCCAGGTACACTGACTGCTTGTTTGCAACAGAGCCATGTAATTAAATGTGGTGCTTTGAACTTCTAAAAATTAATGCAAAAATAGTTTAATAATGAGTAGTTTCATTTCAGATTTCTGCAGCTGACTGCAGAGATCACTGCTATGTTCTCTAGAAGACTTTACGTGAAGTAAATTAAACCATAGAACTTTTTAGGTACAATACTGTTGTATACTGTTGTGGTGGGTTGATCCTGGCTGAACGCCAGGTGCCCACCAAAGCTGCTCTATCACTCCCCTCCTCAGCTGGACAGGGCAGAGAAAATATAACAAAAGGCTCATGGGTTGAGATAAGGACAGGGAGATCACTCAGCAATTACCGTCACGGGCAAAACAGACTCGACTTGGGGAAATTAATTTATTACCAATAAAATCAGAGTAGGGTAATGAGAAAAAAAACCCCAAATCTTAAAACACCTTCCCCCCACACCTCCCTTCTTCCTGGGCTCAACTTCACTCCTAATTTCTCTACCTCCTCTTTCCCCCGAGCAGCACAGGGGGATGGGGAATGGGGGTTGCAGTCAGTTCATCAAACCTTGTCTCTGCCACTCCTTCCTTCTCAGGGGGAGGAGTTCTCCCACTCTTCCCCTGGTCCAGCGTAGGGTCCCTCCCATGGAAGACAGTCCTCCATGAACTTCTCCAATGTGAGTCCTTCCCAATGGCTGTAGTTCTTCACAAACTGCTCCATCATGGGTCCCCCACAGGGTGCAGTCCTTTGGGAACGGACTGCTCCAGCATGGGTCCCTCATGGGGTCACAGGTCCTGCCAGCAAACTTGCTACAGCATGGGCTCCTCTCCACTGGGCCAAAGGTCCTGCCAGGAGCCTGTTCCAGCACGGGCTTCCCACAGGGTCACAACCTCCTTCAGGGTGCATCCACCTGCTCCAGCATGGGGTCCTCCACGGGCTGCGGGTGGATATCTGCTCCACCGTAGATCTCCATGGGCTGCAGGGGGACAGCCTGCCTCACCATGGTCTTCACCATAGGCTGCAGGGGAATCTCTGCTCCGGCACATGGAGCACCTCCTCCCCTTCCTTCTTCACTGACCTTGGGGTCTGCAGAGCTGTTTCTCTCACATATTCTCACTCCTTTCTTCTGGCTGCAGTTGTGCAGCAGTTTTTTCCCCCTTCTTAAATATGTTATCGCAGAGGCGCTACCACTGTGGCTGGACATGGGGGAAGCCTCTGGCAGCTTCTCACGGAAGCCACCCCTGTAGCCCCTCCTTCTAGCAAAGCCTTGCCACACAAGCCCAATACAATACTGTTTTTACAAGGTAACATGTAGATAATGATAGCATTTCCCACAAAATATTTTTGCCTGTTATAGGCAAAATAAATTAAAGAGATTGAAACACAGAAGTATTAGTCATTTCGATAATATTGTTTTTTGAATATGTAAAATAATTCATCAAAATTTGACCTCTTTTAAGATGCTGGTTTTGCTTGTCAGTGAGGAGGTATTTATTGTAAAAGGATTCCTCAACAATACAAAGATTTGATCCAATGTTCTATCATATTATGTGCTATTAGAGAGTAAGACATTTTACAAAGATTTGATCCAATGTTCTATCATATTATGTGCTATTAGAGAGTAAGACATTTTGCAAATATGTGATACTTTTTAATATGGAAAACATACAGAATGATGTATTAAAAACTTGTGATTTTAACTTTCTGAGAGATTCCTGAAATGTCATGGTGTAAAATACCTACTGGGCTTTTTCCACTTCTTTTTGGATATAGAAATCTTTAAATTGGATGTTTGAGTCTAATTTTTTTTGAAATTTCTACACTTAATTTTTATTTGACTTTGCCTTTTATAATTTACGGAATTGCTTGTTCCAATTTTAAAATGTATGTCTTTAGGGATGGAGCACCTCATCTGTATATAAGGATAAAATATGATGCAGCAACTTATTCTTGTCAAATTTCAAAAAACTTTCAAAAAATTATTTTGAAAATAACTTCCCCATGGACAGTTATGACTAGGATCTGCGTCATTCTGAAGTAATCCAGAGAAATACAGTTAACATGAAGAGGATTTTTTGAAATTTATTGGTTGTTTCAATTTTAATGAAGTTCTTGTCCTTAAACAGTTTCCAAAACCATTTCATAGAATCATAGAATCATTTCGGTTTGAAAAGACCTTTAAGATCATCGAGTCCAACCGTTAACCTAACACTGCCAAGTTTCCACTATGCCATATCCCTAAGCACCACGTCTACCCGTCTTTTAAATACCTCTAGGGATGGGGACTCCACCACTTCTCTGGGCAGCCTGTTCCAATGCTTGACAACCCTCTCCATGAAGAAATTTTTCCTAATGTCCAATCTAAACCTCCCCTGGCATAACTTGAGGCCATTTCCTCTTGTCCTATCGCTTGGTACTTGGGAGAAGACACCAACCCCCACCTCGCTACCCCCTCCTTTCAGGGAGCTGTAGAGAGCGAGAAGGTCTCCCCTCAGCCTCCTTTTCTCCAGGCTGAACACCCCCAGGTCCCTCAGCCGCTCCTTATAAGACTTGTCCTCCACACCCCTCACCAGCTCCATTGCCCTTCTCTGGACACGCTCCAGCACCTCAATGTCCTTCTTGTAGTGAGGGGCCCAAAACTGAACATAGTATTTCAAGTTGTTTTCGAAGAGTTACATAGTAGGATAATATATCATATTTTGAAATTTGCAAGGTAACTACATATAATAGTCTAATTTTTTAACCAGTACTGCATCTTTATCGTCCTGCATCCTTGACATGCTGCAGTCATAGCTGAAGTGCCAGACCCCTCAGTTCTCCAGGGAAGGAGTAGGAACTTGGACTGGACTAGACTTGTTGAGGCATGTGGACATATGATGTAGTGCACGGTTCTTTTCAACAGAATGTCTTATGTATGGGTTCTTGTGTCCTCCAGGGGGCATCGGCACAGCTGACAGCACCTACAGTGGCACTTCCCTATAGCAGTTGTACCTTATATGCTTCAAAAAGTTGGAGCAGTACTCTGGCATGTGTCATGTGTGATGTACTCTGAACATTAAACTGATGGGAGATGCATGTATCTTTCACGTTAAATGACTTTGGCAGGATTTTAGGAACTTGTAGGTTTTTGTTAATTAGCACCCAGAATGCTTTATAGAGAGACAAACAATCATATCATCTTTTTAAATCTACACTTGTTGTTTCCATTAGTAACTGATGTGTACCAGTATTAGAGTTTTAAACTTAAGTCTATGTGGTAGCAGGATCTTTAGACTTTCTAACCCCCTCCCACCGCATATTTTTCCTTTCTCCCCAATAGGAGAAATTCCTCTCAGGATGACTTCCTGTGCTTTTGTACATTAATGTCAGCAGCAGGATGAAAGAGAAGACCAGGATTATCTAATCTTCATCAGTTTCAGTCTCCTGATGCTGTGCTGCCAGAAAAAATGTTAGTGTTTAGGATCTTAGAGGTTTTTGTCCTGGGTAGTGCCTTTATGGCTCTCCTGGAAGGAGCACAGATGAAAAAATTGGACTACTGAGAGAAGCTAGGACAAATAATGATGCCACTGTTGCCTGATCGCAGTTATTATTTTTGCTGAGTGATGAAAAGAAGGTGAGATCTTCAGGGTATTTTATTTAACTGGAAAAGGAAGGACTTATAGATTCCAGATATGTTTGATAATAAGTTAGCTATCAAGTATTATTTACAGATAACATCCAGTTCAGAAAAAAATTATAAATCTTTACTTAGGAAAATAGTTAAACTCATTCTTATCTTTAATGTTATTAAGTACAGTTTTGGACTGTGGCCAAAATAGATATCTCAAATAATTTTACAGTCTGCTTGAATGGAGAACAGCCTACAAAGATATATATATATAAATAATCTGGTAATTGTTTGCAGGATACATTAGACTTACTTTCTGTTGAGTTGCATATTTCCCTTTTTGAGGAGTCTTATTTTTTCAATTAGTTTTGCATTTACATATTATGTTACGAAGACTGTGAGATGGGGGAAATTCACTGAAATTTCTATGAATTCTTAATGTTTCGGGTATGGTCGAAAAAATTAAATTGAAACTTTAACTTGACATCTCTCTTCTTGAGATGTCATTGTATTAGGACAGCTGTACATAGTAGACAGCTTTTGTAGAACATCTCAAATGAAAGTGGAGATAAAAAAAAATAAAGTTAATTTGAATTCATCTACCCTTTCATCTGTACAAAGCGATTTATTAACATGTGGCTTATTTTCTCCAGATCGCTACAATTTCTCCAGGGATGGCATCATGTGAAAACACTCTAAATACATTGAGATATGCAAATAGGTATGGAAAATATTATTGCTTATAGCTATACTGGCTGTTGATCACTGATGTTTGGAATACTGTTGTTCCATGATGTATAGTTATTTTAACTACTTGAATAATTTTAGCATACTTGCATTTCTTAATAAGATTAAAACCAAAATACTGATTAATGATTCAGGCTCACATTTAATTTAATTTGTAGCTTTTTACAACCATTACAAGAGAATCAATAGAAACACCATTTAAGCCATTATTCAGATATGGATATAGTGTGGATTGCAAGGAATCTGGGAGATGCCCCTATTAGTTTTGCCCCTGCTCTGGAGGAATCACCTCTTGCATTAGGGGTAGTAGGTTTTCATGATGGTTCCCTGGAGTGTTAGCTAAAATACCTTTCTGCAATGGGATTTTTCATCCCCTTGGTGGAATTGCATTCAGTTGCCAGCCTGTTTCTTTTATATATATGATATATCATATCATATCATATATGAGTGGGCCGACATTTTCCCTAGTCTTCCTCTTGTCACTGATATACCTGTAGAAGGCTTTCTTGTTGCCCCTGATGCCTATGGCCAGATTTACCTCTATCTGGGCTTTAGCTTTCCTAACCTGATCCCTGGCTGCTCGGACAATTTCTCTGTATACCTCCCAGGCTACCTGGCTGGAGACGGACTTTTTACAAGGGCATGTAGTGACAGGACGAGGGGGAATGGCTATAAACTGGAAGAAGGCAGGTTTAGATTAAACATTAGGAAGAAGTTTTTCACTTTAAGGGTGGTAAGGCACTGGAACAGGTTGCCCAGAGAGGTTGTTGAGGCCCCATCCCTGGAGGTGTTCAAGGCCAGGTTGGATGGGGCTTTGAGCAACCTGGTCTAGTGGAAGGTGTCCCTGCCCATGGCAGGGGGGGTGGCACTCGATGATCTTCAAGGTCCCTTCCAACCTAAACCATTCTATGATTCTATGATATATAGATCTATCTCAACTAGTTTATTCTTATGAAAATTCTGCAGTTGCTGTGGCCCAAATTTTATACTTCCCAACTTCAGGCAAATATCTGAGATCCCTAAGTAAAGAGTCAGTTAATCCAGCAGTGACATTATAATCAGTGTAGAGAAATTAGCCCCTCCAGAGGCTGATGCAGCACCTCTGAGACCTGTACTGCTCTCTGAAAGTGTTCGTCTCTTCAGTGAGTGTGAAAGGAGCCTTCCCCAGCTGCAGTTCTCCTTAATTTAATGTCTGTGGAGATGGGGTCCTGCACATGCCTGCAGTCAGACCTGCGACCCAGAGACCCACCCTCCGCTTTGCTGCAAAGAACAAAGGAGTTGTTACAGTAACATAATGAAGGATGTTGCTCATTCATCAAGACTCTTAAAAATAAAGATCATCAAGATCTTTCTATCCCTTATAGAATATGCATTGCTGAAGTGACTCTGCAAAACAAATTAAATACCTATTTCTAGTATACTAAATCGTGCTGAAACCGTTTCTTCCCTTGGTGCTAAATTTCTATGTTGTAATGGAGTAAATGACTGACACTGTAAAGTTGCTTCATGTGTTTGGTGTAGTGTTCTGTTTTTTTCTAGCAATATATCATTTTCATAGTACAATTAGGTTTTAGGTGCTGAACACCAGTGTCTGTACACTGTAAGGCAGGGGGCAGTATAGAATTTAAAGTATTGTAGTGTTTTGATATGTTAAAAGGAGCAGTTTAATGGAATATTGAATGTAGAGCAAATTTTATTAACTGCACGAACTGAAATCTGGAATTACTCTTCTGAAAACATTGCTATTATAGTCTCCTGCAAATTAGTAGCACTGGTTTTGTTCAATTTTGTTAGTGATCTGTAACTCTTATTTGCAGAAGGTTTAAATATGTCAACACTCTTACTTGTGTTTTAATATAAAAATAATTTTATTGTTAAACTATTAAAGAAGGATGCTAAACAAAGAGTTGTCATTTTAACTGTGTTTATGAGAACATTTTCTTTTAATTTGCTGCTGTATTTTGCTGCTGCAGAGTAAAGGAATTTGGAATTAGTCCTTCGGACATTCCCTTCTCACAGGGTAGTGGCAGTCGCTCTGATCTCTCTCCTTCCTATGAGTATGACGACTTTTCTCCTTCAATCACCAGGTCTACTTCATTCTATACATGGAATCTTTATTTTTAAGTTTTCTTTTTGGCAATGTAATTTTACAGACCAACCTTTCATTAGTCCCCTTGCCTTGAGTCACACATACTTTGTTTTTATTTTGTTTGGCAGGTGATGGTTCTGCATGATCTGCAATCATCTTCCCAGTATTTTGTTCACCCTCCTTAAACATCCACACTCTGTATCCAGGCTTGCTAGTTTCCTTCATACATTTAAAAAAAAATGGTGATGTCACCTTTGTACATTTAGTGGACCAAATCTGATAAGTTTGTGTTTAGGGTAATTTGAATATGTCTAATTAAAAAAGAACAATTTTAATACATATATATTTTTTAAAACTTTTCACCACTCCAAAGATGAATGAAATACAGTTTCCATTGTAGTAAATATGTGCTACTTTAAAAAAAAAAATCCCTTTAAAAAATGAAGGATTTGTTCTAAAACTTGCTATACTTGCAGACTTTGATGTGTCTTTTTCATAAGCATTCTTTTAAAGGGGCTTTTTTTTGGACAGAATCATTATCAATCTTTTAAACTATTTTCATGCTGCAAGAACCTTTTAATAAGATATTTTCACCTTTGAAATTATTTTAATTAAAGGATCTATTCATTCTCTGGTATACTTGCTTGCATATTTTTATTTTCTTCAGGATTCTTGGTGGATTTGCTTATAACAGCTAGTGGGGTACTGATTGACTAATTTTTTTAATTGTGTGCACAGAAAAAGAAAGATGGTCAGGTTTAGGGTGCTGAATGAACTTTTCTTTCAAATATTATTCATTGTTAAAAAGTTAATATTGAGGGTTTGGAGATTTTTGCCCTCTTAACAGTTAATGAGCAGTAAGATTTCAATCAAAAAATGCCTCTTGCTAGAAAATGAACGGTAATCCACCTGTGAGTAGTTGAAATTCAATGGTTTATGCTTTTTAGGAGCTGAACTAACATCTTTTTGTCACTGAAAGTACATTAAATTTGAGAAGCTGACATCATCATCCTTATTAAATTAATTAAATAGCGCATAAACCCATAGAGTTTATATTTGGTTGTGACTCTTGCACAGGAAGTTACTAATTTACAAATTAAATGTTTTCTGATTGTAGGGTGAAAGAGCTGATGGTTGATCCTAGTGCTGCAGGAGATATCCGTCCCATTATACACCATGCTCCTAATCAGATCGATGACTTAGAGACACAGTGGGGTGTGGGGAGCTCTCCTCAGAGAGATGATCTCAAATTGCTTTGTGAACAAAACGTGAGTGGTTTACAGCATTACATGGAAAGAGGTGATGATAAATACAGTGGCAGAACAAATCCAGAGTAATGTGTATTTATAGCTTATTAGCAATATCATTAAGTAGATACAGCATGCCCCTTCACCTTTTCAATTTATGATATTATGTTCATTCCCATACACACAAAAAAAGGTTCCTTGAAGGGTGAGAGGAGAATGTTTTACTTTTCTTATCTTCCTTGCTGATTAGGGCTTTTCATGTCTAGGCCAGGTCTGGTCTAGGCTCTTGCGGTTTTTAGTGTGCATTTTTTCCCAGTATAGCTTCATCTCTTACTAGGTAGTTAGAAGTAGCCTGGGAAATGTGTCCATTTTATTTAACACTCCTGTGTTTTTGACCATTACTTTCCCTGCATGCAACACCTGTTTCAAGCGAGTTTGCCTTTCTCTTCATTTAGAAATCTGGCTACCCATCATTCCTCTTCCCAACATCTTGATTTTCATGGAGTGAAACCCCAGAGCAATGTTTGGGAGAGAGCCACATCATGTTCCCAGGATGTCTCCTTGGGCTGCATGAGTGGAGAGCTGGGACTGAGAGGCATCTAAAGGGCATTTTTCCCTCATTGCTGATTATCAGCTTTAGTCCTGGTTCTTTAAATGTTCAACAGGGATTAAAACTTGGTTTGTGAAAATGCTGATAAGAACATGCTAGTGATTCCTAGAGCTTCCCACTGGACAGTCCTGCCAGCCAGATATCCTTTCATATCATATTTTTTCATTGTTCATATGGAATTCAATTAAGCTTTACAGTGTGTTTTTAAAAGGATTTTAAAGGCATGGTATAAGGAACCATACTGTCTTGATAAAACATTAATCACAGCCTACCTAGACCTTTCCCCTTTGATTGTTAACTGTTTATGTCTAAATAAGTCCTGTTTGTCCCAGTTTGTAAATCCATGTTGTGCGTTCTTCTAAAGTATTAATCACTACATACTTTTTAGATTTTTCACTTTATATTTATTCCACTTTTTTTTTCAAAAGGATTACTTTAATTTTGATCTCCTGAAATGTATTGAATGTAATTGCTGTTCTTTTTTGAAAATTGTTGTCTGTCTATTGCAGTATACACAACAAAAAGACCTGATGGAAAATGAGCTTTCTGTAGGTGTTAAAATGTACTAGAAAATAGCATTCTTCCCTTGTGACTTCTTCCTCCTACTATTTTAACTTGGGTTTTTTTCCATGTGGAATATTGTGGATATTTTTTTCCATTGTGGATTAGTGGCTGGAAATTTTTAATGCATATGAATTAAATTTAACTCTGTGAACATTTTGAATTTATTGCCCTCTCCACTCATTTCTGGAAATTTTCTTGTTAGAAGTATTAAGTTCTATTTTTTATAGGTTCTGCTTTCTGCATATTTGTTTTCATGCTCTGTGATGGGATGGATCACATTCAATATATTTCCTGTAGCCACAGTTCTTTCCAGACTAACAAGCTTAACTATTGTTTCTAGGAAGAGGAAGTTTCTCCACAGTTGTTTACTTTCCATGAAGCTGTGTCACAGATGGTAGAAATGGAAGAGCAAGTAGTAGAAGACCACAGGGCTGTCTTCCAGGTAAAAGACGGAGCTCTACTTTGTTGTATCCTAATCCAGGAATTTAGGTTTTCCCAATGAAAGTGCATACTCTTGAAGATGTAGGATATCATTCTGCTGCTGTCAGAGATTTCTAAATTGTTTTATTGTGCTAAGCCCTTTGTAGCAAACAAATAGGAACAGATGTTTAGATCCCATAACTGTTAATCTTTGTCCCCATGATGAAAGAGAAGTATATTTTTCTGCCATCCCAGAAATTTTGTAAAATTTTCCTTTTCTTCTCAACAAACATTCCTAAATAGACTGCATTCGTTGTAAGAAAAGTTGCTATTTTCTTTTTACTATTTTAACTATTTACTATATTTTCTGTGTTAGTCCTTTTCCAGCATTAGTGACTGTTTTTTCTAGTTGCAGGGAGCTTACTCAGATTGGTCTTGAAATTTTCAATTTCACTGTCTAATCTATGCCAATATTCCTATGCCAAAGCTGGCAATTAATAGTAATGTCTCTAGTAATATCTCTATCAGCACCATTTCTGTTTGGTCATCTCCTAAGATACTGCAATACTCCCTCCAAGTTTCTCCTCTAAATATCCTTCTGTGACATCTTCCTCTGAGATACTGAGATCCAGAAGAAACTGTTTGCTTCCTTTTTACAGATACATAAAGGTTTTCACTTGCTATTAGTCAGGGTCTTTGGAAGGAATACTGCCCACACAATGTAATGCTGGCCAGCGCCATGGAGCCTTTTACATTTACAAAATAAATTGTAATAATAAGTATGAGTTACTAGTTTTCAGAAGGAAATGGGAGTTGCTTCTGTTCATAACCTTAGAGTCTTTAGGCAGTGTCTTTGGTGCATCTGCTGCAAGAAAACAGCAAAACATTAAACCTGCAGGGAATACACACATCTTCTCAATTTAGGTATCTAACGTAGTGGAACATTGATGTGTGTACGTGTAATACAGTAGGATGCTAAATAACACATTTTACAACAGATGTAGAGATTTAGCTATTATGAAACATTAGCCCTGATGTAAAACATGCAGGAGTGTGAAAGTCATATGCCATAGCTGTGTCCTAATGCTTGCGACTTCTGGAGGGACAAGCTGCATTAGTTTAAGATGTTACTGCCTCTGTGTGTCCATCTGGCCTTATGCTGGAGATCACTGCTTCTCACAGCAGTCATTAGAAGGAAATGTGTCTGAGCCTCAGCTCCCTTCGTTCGCAGCGTGGCTTGTTAGTTTATGCCATGGGTGGAGATGGGCTGCACCAATACAAAATCTACAAGCTGTTACATGTAGAAGTTGTATTCTGTCAGCTTTCTCCTGGAAGTTGTTGATTCTGGGATACAAAACATCCTATCCTAACAAAAATGTCTAAAATAGATCAACTGAATGAATTGTGCTCTAGAGGTGTTAGTCTTCCTTTGTTTCTTGGATATATGAGTTTACATTAGATGGGATGAATCCTATCCCAATGTGAGCTCCATCTGTCCTGAAAGCCAACAAAACATACATGGGGATTGGATTATGCTTTCAATATTATTTGGACTACTGAGCACAGAGGGAAAGACTTAATTATAGTATTTCAGGCCCAGCATGCCTAGAACTGTCAGCTGCTTTCTTTTTTTTTTAAAACAAAGCATTTCCAATGGGATCAGTTCTCCTGATCACAGCTTTGCATGGTTCTGTAAGCTCCTGGTTGCATTCTTCTTTGCTGCAAGACTTCTTTTTTTCCTCCTCTTTTTTTTGGTAATATTCGGAGTGCAAAGATGCCTAAGAGCTGCTTTAACCAACTTTTACAGTACTCTTATCTGTCTGGGACAACCAGCCCATACTTAAAATTGAAGCCTGGCTTCAAAGTTTGATACCTGCCTAAGGTTGACATAAAGTTCTGAGTATCTTAGCTTTACAACCACCTAATGTTCTGAATTTGAAGAAAACTGGGGTCACTGGGGTTTAGTGAGTTAACTAGATAGTAAAAGTGTGGTCATCTTGAGAAAAGGAGTAATTCAGCTCTGTCTTGAAACTTGTCTTGAAACTTTGCTAATGTATTTAGTTGGGTTTTTTTTTAACTTTTATCTAGGAATCTATTAGATGGCTGGAAGATGAAAAAGCTCTTCTTGAGATGACAGAAGAAGTAGACTATGATGTGGATTCTTACGCTACCCAACTTGAAGCAATTCTAGAGCAAAAAATTGATATTCTGACCGAACTTAGAGGTAGATTGCTTTTAATCACTTTTGTGTGCATTTTCATATGCCACGGAGACTTGCAGTAATAATGAGGAGGAAAAAAAAGTGTGGTTATGTTTTGGGGTCTTTTTTCACCTTATGCTGTCCTGTAATGTTCTGTGGAAGGAACATTTATTCTGCTGCCTAAGAACAGGTTCACATCTGTGTTCAGTTCATCCTAGTTTAAAGGAAGAGTCTCTGCTTTACCTCCAGGAGGTATAAACTTGATACTGCAACTTTGTGGGTTTTTTTCCCTTGTTCCAAAACAATAAAGGAAGGAAAAAGAAAATCCAAAAGAACTATATGAAAAAAGAAAGTAATGCAATGAGTAAAAAGTATTAGGAACTCCCAGTTCCTGCTCTATTGCACTCTGTAGCGTAGCAGGGAGCCTGCTGTTGTTTTTCAGTCTGTGCTTAGGAGTAACGTCGAGCTCTGAGTAGCTTGCCTGTTGGCCTATTTTTTTCCTCAGCAGCCTTTCTGTTGGACTTTTGTCAGCCTCTCTTTGTTGAAAAACAAACCGCAGATAATTCTTAGTTCCCAAAATTGACTCTTCCACTTGTCTTCTAAAATCACCGTGTCAGTTTGGTACCTCATGGAGATGAATTTTTCATTTCAGTTTCTGTATCTGTTTGGATTCCAGCAGACATACTATACTGGTAAAAATTCAAGGGTGGGTTGTTTGGGTTTTTTTGATCTGTGTTAGAAAACTCCTTATAAGATAAAAATTTCAATTTTTACTCAGTACTCCATACTCAGTATGGATGATGGCTTCCTCTTCAGAAAAATAAAATTTGAGACACTAGCAGTGAAAAAACAGTTTTGGTGACTCCCTGTTCTTCCAAAACTTAGTAGATACTGCTTTTGAAACAAGATACTAGAGGTAAAGGATATCTAAGAGATCCTTGCATCTTTACAGGCAGCATGATACATGTATAACTTTACAGGAGGGAAGAACTGTTAAGTCAAAGATTCTTTCTCCCAGTAACTTCTGTGTTATGCTCATGGCACATAATGGTCACTGAATATTTCAGCTTTTATTCCTGTCACTTTAGGACTGACTTTTTTTCTGCTAACATTTTGGCTTCCTTCTTCCCGTTCTTGGGCATATTATTGTGTAATGGGGAGGTGGGGAGAGAAATAGAAATATGAAAGGATGCCATACTTCCTTTCTCAGGTTTCTTTCATTCTTGTGCTAGTTGTGATGAAAATGAATGATGCATTTATCTATTTACTTCATAAATTTAATCACAAATGCTTTTCACATTCATAGAAAAATTGTCCCGCACAACATCCTTGTCTCTGAAAGGGAGAGACACGGATTTGACGGGTGGACCACTCAGTGGATAAAGAATAGACTGGATGGTCACACTCAAAGAGTTGCAGTCAACGGCTCAATGTCCAGGTGGAGACCAGTGACGAATGGTGTCCCTCAGGGGTCCATATTGGGACCAGTATTATTTCACATCCTTGTCCTGGACATGGACAGTGTGATTGAGTACACCCTCAGCAATTTTGCGGATGGTGTGGTTGATACTCCAGAGGGAAGGTATGCCGTCTAGAGGGAAGGTATGCCATCCAGAGGGACCTGAACAGGCTGGAGAGGTGGGCCCATGCAAACCTCATGAAGTTCAACAAGGCCAAGTGCAAGGTGCTGCCCATGGGATGGGGCAATCCCATGCATAAATACAGGCTGAGCGGAGAATGGATTGAGAGCAGCCCTGAGGAGAAGGACTTCCCATCCCTGGAAGTGTTCAAGGCCAGGTTGGACGGGGCTTTGAGCAACCTGATCTAGAGGAAGGTGTCCCTGCCCATGGCAAGGGGTTTGGAAGTAGATCTTTAAGGTCCCTTCCATCCCAAACCATTCTATGATTCTATGAAAAAATGGGGGGGAGTAGAATTTACTCTGCTGGGTTTTCAAATGTACAAAAGTGACTGATTGTACACTAAATACAATTTTGTATGCGTCTAAGGATGGTTTGGAAGCTGCTGGGAAGGAAAAGGAAGTATGCAGAGTGTATGTCCCTATACTCTTAAGTTAGAAGCAGAATTTAAGTGTGAACAGGTTACATGCTGGGAATTTAATCAAATCAATAGAATAGAATAGAATAGAATAGAATACAATACAATACAATATAATACAATACAACAGTTCCGTTGGAAGGGACCTACAATGATTATCTAGTCCAACTGCCTGACCACTTCAGGGCTGACCACAAGTTAAAGCATGATATTAAGGGCATTGTCCAAATGCCTCTTAAACACTGACAGCCTTGGGGCATTGACCACCTCTCTAGGAAGCCCCTTCCAGTCTTTAACCAACCTTCCTGTAAAGAAATGCTTCCTACTGTCCAGTCTAAACCTCCCCTGGCACAGCTTTGAACCATTCCCACACATCCTGTCACTGGATCACAGGGAGAAGAGCTCAGCACCTCCCTCTCCACTTCCCCTCCTCAGGAAGCTGTAGAAACCAATGAGGTCACCCCTCAGCCTCCTTTTCTCCAAACTAGAGAAGCCCAAAGTCCTTAGCTGCTCCTTGTAGGACATGCCTTCCAGCCCTTTCACCACCTTTGTTGCCCTCCTCTGGACACATTCAAGGACCTTCACATCCTTATTAAATTTTAACGCCCAGAACTGCACACAGGACTCGAGGTGAGGATGCACCAATGCTGAATAAAGCAGGATAATCACCTCTTTTGACCAGCTGGTTATACTGTGCTTGATGCACCCCAGGATGTGGTTTGCCCTCTTGGCTGCCAGGGTACACTGCTGACTCATATTGAGCACTCCCAGATCCCTTTCTGCAGGGCTGCTCTCCAGCCACTCCCCTCCCAATTTATACTTGTGCCTGGCGTTACTCTGTCCTAGGTGCAGAATCTGGAAATGTTAAATTTCATCCCATTAATCATAGCCCAATGCTCCAATCCATCTAGATCCCTCTGCAAGGCCTCTTGTCCTTCAGGAGAATCAACAGCACCTCCCAGTTGGATATCATCAGCAAACTTGATAACGGTGCATTCAACTCCTGCATCCAAATCATTGATAAAAATATTGAACAGAACTGGCCTGAGGACTGAGCTCTGAGGGACACTGCTGGTGACTGGTCACCAGCCAGATGTAGCCCCATTCACTACAACCCTTTCAGCACTGACCTTCAGCCAGTTCTTCACCCAGTGCGCTGTGTACCTGCTCATCATCCCTTGGTGCTGGGGAAGGTTATGGAGCAGATCATCTTGAGTACCATCACATGGCACGTACAGGACAACCAAGTGATCGGGCCCAGTCAGCATGGGTTTATGAAAGGCAGGTCCTGCTTGACTAACCTGATCTCCTATGACAAGGTGACCTGCTTACTGGCTGAGGGAGAGGCTGTGGATGTTGTTTACTTGGACTTTAGTAAAGCCTTCGACATGGTTTCCCACAGCATTCTCCTGGAGAAACTGGCTGCTCATGGCTTGGATGGGTGTACTCTTCACTGGGTAAAAAACTGGCTGGATGGCTGTGCCCAGAGAGTGGTGGTGACTGGAGTTAAATCCAGTTGGTGTCTGGTCACAAGTGGTGTCCCCCAGGGCTCGGTGCTGGGGCCAGTTCTCTTTAATATCTTTATCAATGATCTGGATGAGGGGAT